TCCCGACCTTTCATCCGAACCCCCATTGATAATCTGCGGGAGGTACCAAGGCAGTTTCCCCGAAACTCTTAAAGCTAAAGGCGTCTTAGGAGATTCAAGCAGTTTCATTATCGATTTGAAGATAGAAAAGGCTAAGGACATACCTATTGACAAAGTAATGCGCCTACTACTCGTTGCAACTTAAATGCTTTTTCCAGTATAAGTAATGATTTGCTCTTGGAGTGAGATATGTATATTCATTTTTCTCTTACAGATTATAGCCAGGCAGCAGATCGATCTACTCACGGCGCAGGCATGGTTTTCGGAAAATAAACTCCTCGAGGAGCAGGTTGTTTCTTTATGTTCTTGACATTTTCCTCCCACAATTGGTAGGCTAAACAGCCGTTTCTGATGCTATTGGTTTGTAAATGGCAGATTCCCAGTTTGAGCATAAGAACTTGCAATATCTCTGAGTATTCATGTATGGTCTTACTCGAGAGAAGTAAAATAGACAACGACACGGATGTCGCCGGAGCTCGGAAGGTAGGTTATAGGTATTATCCACCCCATGATGGCATATGATCTTCTTCTTCTTTTCATTCTTATGAAAACAATGGGTTCTTACAGGTATCGAATAAAGGCAATGCACGCAAACTTTTGGAGTCTGCAGAACCGAAAAAGATGTTGCTTCAAATACTTACAGTTGGTTTCGGCAATCTGGTCGCAACTGTGGAAAACATACGTCCGGGATCCGAAGAAGAAAATTTACCGGAAGTGGTAGAAATGCTGAACAAGAGAACTTCAAATTGCTGTGTTCAGCTGTGTAAAAGTTGCTGTTGCGTGTGCTGCCTTGACTGTTGTCAAAGATGAATAATCAATGTGCCGTTATATTAACACAAGTACTGGGTGCTATAGCTTGCATTGGCTGCTGTCAATGTTGCGCGCTTTGCTTCCCTGAAGAAGGGTGATGAACGCATCCCCAGAGTTGGAAACATCGTTGTATATTGATGTTTACAATGTATAAAACCGTATTAACAGTATATAATATCGAAAAGTCGAAAGAAGGAATGAATGTGATATATGGATTATTACAGAAGATGGTTTCAATATCATAACTATGTCTTGGACAGTCTCTTCGATGCTTGTTCCATTTTCCTCCACCTGAGTTTCTGTTTTTTCCATACCTTCAGTGCTGATTTTGAGTGTTTCAGTGGTGACCCTTTCCTTTCTCTTCTCTGAAACCGGGAGAAAATGGCAAGCTTCCGCAGAGACGACGAATATATGAGCAACAGCTCCAATTCCCCATCACAATAAACACTTCCAACAGCAGTGCTGCTAATGCATGGAATGCCTTCTTCTTCTTTCTTCTTATTCTTCAAAACCAAGTTTATGAAATGAATAATTGAATCTGAGGAATCGCCAATATCGATGCCGATTAGAGTTTAGAGTGCGACCTACGTATCTTTCCCCCGCCATGTTGCCACGTAAAACTTTACATCCGAGGTACTCCTTTATTCTAAGACACGTACGTCGGGCCCAAATATTTCTCACTTCCAACTTCTCCAATCTTCCATTTTCTTCTTCTTTGGATATTTAATAAGTTCATTATACAAATTGATACCTAAAGTTGATAACTATTTAAAAATTAGTATTTTTTTAATCTTGAATTGATACACAAATTTGAAAAAGTTTCTCAAACTTAACCAATTCTTTACACGATAATAATCATAAGAATATATTTGAATATCTTTTTATCTCTCAAATTTACCATTTCTTTTTATAAAATCGTTTTGTCAAATCAACTCAATGTTGAGTAATTAATGCTTTACATAAAATCATGAATTAATTAATAGCTTTAAACACGAGCTGAATTGAATTGGCTGGACGGTGACGTGTGAGCTAAAGACTTATTACACAACATTTAACATGGAAAAATATAGATAGTCTTTTATAAATTCATCTAAAAATATTTTCCTTCCCAATATAGAATATATACCTTTTAAACTCTTTAAACGTTATTAATAATATGCTTTTACAAAACAAATAATGGTCGAAACTATTATTTATTAAATATAAACATTGATTAAGACACTTATTGTTATCTACTTCTCTTTAAGAAATCAAGATTAAGAGTAAATGAAAAAAAAAATCAAAATATAAAGAAATGATACATGTTCTATAAATATCATCTTAATCAATATAATTAGATAATGATTAACATTCATCTTAAGTAAAAATAGTAATATTATAATGAATAAGGACATTGTTATTATATTTATACGTACATACCTGTATTGTATATTATCCCATGCATGTTGTAATGAACGAGATCCCATCATCATTTAGCTTATTGGATCCCATGTAGATGATAAACCAATAGTTCAAATGTGTTTAATTAATTAATAATTCCTAGACCGCCCGTTATATTGACTAAACTCAAGTTTTTTTTTTTGAGAAAATAAAAAATCGAAAAAGACAACAAATTGGCTATGGAAATTGGGAAATTGGTACTTTTTCACATAAAAGCTTGATTTGAATAGAGAAGTTGTTTATATATATCTCAATTCTCAATCACATCTCCACGTGGTGCTGCTTCAATTATCAAGTTAGGAACTTCCCTTTTTTGGTTACTCTCGCCAAGCTTTTCCAAATATGGTATTATAATGGATTGTAGAATATGATATATTGATATTTGTGTTTAGGGTATATTACGATTTTCATCACTAAATTTTCTTCTCACTTCTATTTTGGTCACTAAATTTTTTTAAAAAAAAACAATTTACTTCTATTTTAGTCACTTAGGTGTTAAATTGTAAATGGAAAGTTGACATGGCAATCACGTGTGCTGATGTGATTATTTTTATTGACATGAAATCTATGTGCCATAAATTTCATTTTCCTTTTTTTAATTTTATCTTCTTCATCAAAATATGAAAGTTTTACAATTTCATCCCTGAGTCACGTGGAAGCTATAATTACCATTCTTCGGCATCTTCTTAGACTACTCAAGATATCGACTAACACACCTCAATGTTTCCTAATCAATTTAGATTTTACCTAAATCACTTTAAAACTCATAAAACTTAACTCTAAACCTAAAACTCATGAAACCTCAAACTATTATGATCTATAATATCCACCATTTGATCATCGTGTCAAGATTTATAGCTTGCTTCCCATCATTGGATTTTGGGAGTAGATACTACATCATTGAGAAATTAAAGGAAATTCAAAACTAGTGATTTTTTTTCACAAAAAATGAATAAAGTATTGGGATCATTTTATATTTTTTAAAAGAAAAATATATAATCATAACATTGTTAAGTATATAAATGCAGAGTGACCAAAATAAGAGTTAATCGAAAGTTTAATGAGTAAATTGGATTTTTTTAATTTTAATTATAAAAATAGATTGAGAAAGAAGTTGAGTGATGAAAATGATAATTTACCCTTAAATTTTATTTATACATAATGGCATTGATGTTCTTTAAACGAATTTGATACACATATTTATCATACGTGACACATTTGATTCTTATATTTGTTAAATTAATGTCAAATGTTTAAAAATATTAAATGAATTCTATGTAATAAATTCCATTTTTATGTAATATAGATAAATACAAGTACCAAATATAATATTTGATAAATATAAACATTAAATTGATTTAAAAAAACACATTGTCTTTATGAAAAAAATGACATGTAATTTTGATAGTATAAACATCATATTGGTTAAAAGAAACAAAAACACAAATATATTTAACAAAATAACAACTTTTAGTATTAAATAATATATGGATTGAGGTTACTTAAATTATAACAAGTAATTGAATAGTCAACATCGTAAATTGGGTTGAAATTTTCTTAGAGTAGATTTGTTTCTTAGCTCCATCGTAATTGAACCTTTTCAAGGGAATTCCTCGGGCTTTGTCTTCCACTGCATGATCACCAAGATTTTGGTTGGGGATTTATGAGGCATTTATGTTCTTCATCGAGGATTACTTGCTTACATGCATAGAAATTTATAAATAATTTGTATTACATTTTATAATTGATTTTGATTATGATGTACCTAAAAAAATTAACATATTATTAATAATATTATATAAATTTTGACATATTTATATATTTATGTATTTTATTTTGTTATTATTCTCTCGGTTCTTCAAAATTTTGCTATGAATAATTTAAATTAATCTATGTCGCACACCTAATTTTGATTGATGAATCTACCAATTAGAATTTTCTACATATACAAGACATCGAATTCGAAACTTGCTTAAACAATATCACAATTTTAAACTCATAATTTAATCTATCATATTTTTTATTTTAAAATTTAAATACATAAAATATTTTAGTTCATATTATAGTGTAAATTTATACAAGTCGCATATTACAGTAAAATATTTTTTAGCTTCTAAAAGGTTAAAATAAAGGGCAAAGACCAAGCCCTTTGAGACACGTGTTGGTCGGTACGGCCGAAGCTTCGGTGACGGTGGTGTAACGCTGACATCTGGCCGGCTCCGCTCACTTGCGTCGGATTGGGGTGTTTGATTCTGATAAAATGTGTTGGGCGATGTGCGTGGAGCCGCGTGACAACTACACGCGCCTGCCTCGGATGTTTTCCCAATCCTTCCCACAATTAATTCATTTTTTATAGTGCCTTAAGTCTTAAATAATTAGTTAATAAACCCTAAACACGGTTTGGCTTTAATCAGCACTAAATGAAAAACGAAAAAGAATCAAATTTGAGGAATCAATCTCAGGTTTGATTTTAGTTTTAAAAAAAACAGACGAGATGTTATATATATGTAGATTGATATTAAGTAATACAAATTAATTGTTTGGGTTGAATTGAGATATTATATATATATATATTCAATATTTCATTATATTGTACTACCGTTTTTATTGTTAGTATCTTCCTATATTATAACCACCAATAATTTTTTACGTATGATAAATATAAATGTGTATGTGTATGTCTACAGTTTTAGGGGATTTTGTGGGGGCAAATGGGATGGTTATCAAATCAGGGTGTTGTTAGCGGTGGTGGTTGGGAGATGCAAGTGAGAGACATAACCACGCCAACATGATTTTCATTGGCCGATCATCTCTTCAAATAATCTACTTAATATATGTTTTTAATGAATTTCACATATTCTTATAATTATGTTTTAATATTCAACTCAAATTAATGGTGGAAAAAGACAGCTGGAAAATGAAGGTGTGAAAGAAGTGAGAGAGAGAGCATGGAGGGGAAAAGAGGTGGCAAAGTCTCTGTTTGGCAACTTGAACCATGTCTCGACTAGGCACAGTTGCAGTATCACCAGCTTCATATATATCAAATCTCTCCCAGTACTCCACTCTCCATTGCAGATACATAACCTAAGCTAAGCTCTTCACCTGTCACACCCCATTTCCCAAATGAAGGTGATAACTAAGATCAGATTAAATAAACCACTTTAAACACTCGATTCCTTTTGGTTATCCTTATATATTTTTCTTGTTTTGGTTTGCAGATATTCAGCTGGGTTCAAAACAAGCTCACCGGCAAGAAACCCAACACCAACATCATTCCAGACAATCGTAAGTACTTCATTTTGATTCCATGTTTGATCCCCAGACATGTTTGATCTTCGTTGCTGATCATCATCATCATCATCATCATCATCTTATAGACACCACCCAACAACAGCCTTGCAAAGAAGAATTCAGCGACTGGCCTCATGGACTGCTAGCAATCGGAACATTCGGAAACAAGATCAAACAAGAACAGGAGAAACCAAATCCACAACAAGATCATGTTAATTATCTACACGGTCTTACACCAGAAGAAGTAGGGAAACTTCAAAAAGAGTTCAACTTGATATTTCAAGAACACGGCGAACCACCATCATCGGCTAATCCAGAAGCTCCTAGTGAAGGAAAGGTTTGCAGTGGATTCTCCGATGATCACCGCAGCACCAGTTTAGTTCACAGTAGAGGGAAAGATGTCAGCTTGGATAACTCCAAAGCTGCAATAGGGAAGAAATCATTTTCGTTTCTTTTAAAGAAGATATTCGTTTGTACAAGTGGATTCTCACCTCCCGGTCCCATTAGTTTAAGGGATCCAGCCATGGAGTCAAAAATGGAGAAGGTACTTAAAAACATCAGTAAACCACATTGTTATTTAAAGATAGTTAAATCTTCTGAGCTGTTTCCAGGTGTTGAAAACTTAACTTCACAAGAAGATATATCGACAAAATCATGGCACTAAATTGTCAACCCAGAAATCCTTAGAGAGAAGTGCTCATATTGCCAAGACTGCCAATTGGGATGACAAGACTGAAAAGGCAGATGATGGAAGTAAATGGGTGAAAACAGATTCTGAATGTAAGTTGATATAACTATACATATATATGCTAGGACAATTCAAATCTTAATTAGAAATTAATGAATGTTTAACTTGAATTTTTTTGTTCTTAATTGCAGATATTGTTTTGGAAATATAAGTTCCTTTCTTTGATGACGATGACAGCCATAACTTTGGAAAATACATGTTTGCACTGATCTTCTCTCAGTGTTGCTGCATTGTTTTGAATCCTCCCTTTTAATTTTATGGGTGCTGATGTTTTTGAGGATGATAATTGAGAGTTTTATAAACTAGAACTCGTTCATCATCTATTAAATTAGTCCTAATTCAAAATAATTTAAGAAAACTTCACTATGTAAAAATTATTATTAAATTAATAATATATTATTTTAAAATAAAATGCAGAGAAAATTGATAGGAATTTTGAACATTGAGGATTTATTACACTATTTTAGAATAGAACCGTATTTAACAAAATATATAAGATTTAGGGATAAAATTATTATTATATTATATCATTATTTCGATTTATCAATGATCAAACTTAAGGACGTAATATTAAAATAAAAACAAAATATAATGTTATGTATAATTTAAAAATAATTAAATGATCACAATATAAACGTAAAAATAAATGAAGCAGCAAATAAGTAATTTATCTTAAAATTTAAGGGTTAAGACGATATATAGATATTTTAAGATTATATCACCAACTTGTTAATGATTATGAAAAAAATCAATAAATAAATAAATAAAGGAATGAAATGATTTATTATGCAGAATTGTATGTATTTTTTTTTATATTCCTGGTTACTTGTGTGGCTTCTCAAAATGCTCTGTTGCAATCTGGCATTTGTTCCTAATCAAATTTGTGTTGTCGATAATTCTCTTGCACAAAGTGTCTCATTCCTTTGAATGTTTTGGTTTTACATTGCAATAGTAATTTGTCTATGCTTGAGCTCTTTAATGGTTGTAGAACATGCCTAACCAATTATTATCTATTTTATAGAGAAACTCCTTGTTCTGCTGAGAGATGGCCGAAAGCTTTTGGGATTACTGCGTTGTTTCGATCAATTAGGCAGTTTGTCACTGATCCTATTCCTTGCTAAGATGTTGTCTCCTCTCTTTGTTGCATTTCTTCTGATTATAATCTCTTATGTCCACCCATCTATGTTTACAGCCAATGCTGCTATATAAGGAGCTTGTGAGCGAGTTATTGTTGGAGATTTACTGTCAATGTTCTATGACCTACATGAATAACTTGTCTCACTATCCTTTTCCAGGCTCAGAAATTAAGCAGAATGTGAAGCAACAGATTTGAAGGGTTCCATGAGAAAAAGAATGGAGTTTCTTGATTTCGATTAATAGATGCTGTCATTTTGTTAGTGTTGCATGCCATCGCAAATATTAGTGCGACTGTAATCCGAGATTTCAACGAGGGTGGGGATAGGCTCACACTGCATCTCTATTGTTGGAGGAAGCAGAAACTTAACCATTCCGAAGCGTTTATCAGCTAAAAGATTTAGGAGAGGAAAATATTTCTCGTCTCTTAAGAGGCAACGAGGATGATTTCCGGCTACCTCCATGGCATGTGCAATAGTTATATAAGGTTCTTCAGTGAGCTGAATGGTTTCAAAAGTTGGATGTTTATACCCAATGTTTCTCTTTGCTTCCTTTCTAGGCTTTTACAGTTCATTTGATTAGAAATTGTTCCAAATTGCCATGGTTTGTTTGCTTTGTGCCGCATTTTCCGATGGCCCTTTCAATCTCAATTCGTATTGCGTTCAGTTACATTTCATGATCATTTGTAGCTTGCCTTTTTAGTTTTTGCCCCTTGATAATAGGCCATTAGTGAATTTACAGGCTCTTGGTACATGGAAAACAACATTTGCCACAAAAATAAATTACAGAACAAGCAGCAATCTACAAATCAGAAATACGAAAAGCTTGTTAGCACTAAAGATCCACAAGCCTTCAGTCAGGAAGGGTGAGAAAAGAAATGATAGGCTTGTAATAGGGAAAGCTAGCGACAAACTCGGACCGTTTTGCAAGCTCGAACTCTTGAAACTGGAAGGCAGGTGCACAGGTGCAGCCCACAAGGGAATAGTGAGCCTCAGGACCTCTTGGTTCAGCTCTGGTAACTCCCCCATCACTGGAAATGTGAAGATCCTTTGTTGGAAATGCACCAATCCAAACATATGGAGGTACAGTATATTGCACCCTCTGATTATCTACTATATCAGGTCCAAGACATGTTAGTTTTACCTACCCATCTTTCCCGTCCAGCTCTATCATCTGTATCAAACATGCTTTCATTACTCATTCAGAACAAAAAGACCAAGAAATTTCGTGTTACCGATTACCGTAAGAGGTTCTCCCAGAGAGAAATGCCAGATCTCAGCACATGGTATTCGATGAAGACAAGACACACTTCCAGATTGTAGGATGAAGTAAATACATGTGCTTACTTCACGATCAACTTTGTCTGCAGTGAAAATACTGTCATGTGTTTGATAAGAAATACAATTAACTAATATATATTAATTCAATTCAAGAAGATGAAGCATAAACCAAAAGAATTAGCTTGTTACATGGAGGAGGAAGAAGAGATTTGGAGAGGAAGATGGAGGTGTCTCTGAAAGTTTCAGGGTTTGGGACAAGATTCAACTTTGCTGCAATCTCTGATGCAGAAGCCATGTTTGCTTTTCCTTGCTCTTAGATTTATGTGGTTGATTTAAATGACAAACAAAGGACTATGTTTCGGAGTTCAGACAAACAAAAAACCTCGTCTTCCTCTTCTTGTCTGTGAAATCAACTGCTTCATGTGACTATAATGTCACTCCTGACGTTTACACGAAAAAAATAAAATTCAGTAAAATCTCATCGGCCAAGTTTACATGTACAACAAATCAAGAGTACATCATAGGTTATTTAATTATGTTTAAATTGTCATTTTGGTCACTAATTTTAAAAAATTATAAAATGATTAGTATGCAAGTCTATTTATTTAAACCCCTCATATTTTTAACAAATAGCTGAATATGAATGGATATTTTAAATCTTAAATAAATTTATTCGTAAGTTCCAATTAAGTTATAATTTATGATTTATAAGCCTGTCGTAATAAAAAAATTAAATCACAATTTATAGAAAGATTTTTTTTAAAGCGAACGTGATCAAACAGTTAGTGTCAATTATTTTAGAAATGATGTTAATATCCTTTAAAGTAATATCAATATATTAATAATATGATTAAATTAAAGAATTAAAAATCATTAAATTCTAAAAAAAAATTAAATTTATAATCTACGTATAATACAAAAATTAGTAACATAACTTAGCTTAATAAATTTAATAATTAATGTATTGATTAGATTAAAAAATTAAATTTAAAAAATATAAAATTAAAAATAATCAAATTAAATTCCGTGATTAAAATCTACCACCTACTGTTTGTTTTTTAAAATTCCCTTCATTAACTGATAGATTGCAACTCCTCATCGGATCAAAAAAAAAAAAAGATTGCAACTCCTCAACTGTTCACCTGCTGCTGCTGCTGCTGCTGCTTACTGGTCGATGATGTGACATTCCTTCTCGTTGCCGTAAAATGGAACTTCAGATTTCAATTCTTTCTTGTCGGAAATGACATTTACATTTCTTACAATTAATCATGTCTTATAATTCAAGTTAAAATCGTCGACCTGTCCAAACTAAAATCTATGTACTCTCTCAACAATCTCCATTGACTACTCCATTTCCAAACAACAAATCCAGCGGCTACTGTTCACTAACATATCACCCCAAAAAATACACCCTTTGGCCCTTCTACTTTTACAAAAAGATCTCTCCTGTGTTTCAATGTTTCAAACCCTACTGTTAAAAATCGTTTCTTCAACCAAATTTCTACAAACCCAAAATGGCGGAGGCGTTACCGGTGGGGCGGTTCCCGGCATTGTTGTCTTCACGTAAAGCTCTCTTTACTGTCCTTTGGATCTCGGCTTTCGGTTCTGTCCTTTTATGGCAACGGGATATTGTTGGACCCGGGTTCTCGATGTTTGGGAAAGCTTGGCCGGGTCGGATTATGCGCTTTCGAGTTTAACATGACTGAATTTGGTGCTGTTGGGGATGGGGTTACGGATAATACGGCGGCGTTTGAGAGGGCTATCTCGGCTATCTCGAAGCTTGGGAAGAGAGGCGGTGCAAGGCTCAATGTTCCGCCTGGGAAATGGCTCACGGCGCCGTTTAATCTCACTAGTCATATGACTTTGTTTCTAGCCGAGGATGCTGAGATTCTTGGAATCCAGGTTGGTTTCCTCAATTTCCTGCTGATTTTTCCCTCTTAAATCCACATTATTGTGTGAACTGTGATGAAGGGGGATAGTTAGTGTGAATATCATACTATGAAGTATGAACATATAATGGTGTTAGCTTAAGTGAATTCTCTTCGTTAAAGCCAGTTATTCAGTTGTTTTGTTTAAAACTTTGGAATTTTTGTTGGATTCTGTGTGGCATTGTACAGGATGAGAACCGATGGCCGTTAATGCCTCCGTTGCCGTCTTACGGATACGGAAGAGAGCATCGAGGACCTCGGTATGGAAGTTTAATCCACGGCCAAAACCTCACAGATGTCGTTATAACTGGTTAGCTTATTCACCCTGCCCCTGATAAGCTGCAATTTCGGTTTTCGATTCGTTTAGCAATACTTCTTAAGCTGATCAAACAAGTCTGCGTGTGATCTTCAGTAAATGAACTAAACATCATGTAATACATGTAATGTAGATTTGACTGGTGATTGGCTGCAAGCAACACATGTAATGTAGATTCGAGTCTGGTTTACCGTTTTCCTTTATGAATCGACACTGCGACCTTTGTTCTATATGGATCAGTCACAGCCGGCAGAGTCTGATTTTACCCTTTATCTTTACAAATCGACAGGGAATAATGGTTCCATAAATGGACAGGGTCAATCATGGTGGAAGAAGTATCGTCAGAAGCTACTCAACCACTCCAGAGGTCCTCTTGTGCAGATAATGTGGTCGAAAGAGATCGTAATCGCTAATATAACCTTAAGTGATTCTCCGTTTTGGACTCTTCATCCTTACGATTGTAAGAATGTAACCGTTAGAAATGTTACCATCTTGGCACCCGTATTTGAAGCCCCGAATACCGACGGAATCAATCCTGGTAAGTAATCCCTGACAATAGAATTTAAATACTTGTCTATGAAAGTTTCAGGTAGCCATGGTTTTAGACCCAATTCTCATGCATACAATGAATAGTTGTTTAGAAGCGTTTGTTCCACATCTAAGTTGCTTGCTGTGCAAGCTTTGTCGATAATCCGTAGAATGAATGAATTCAAAACTGGAAAAAATGGTTATTAGTTCATTCTGAATGCAACTAAATGCAAGTCTTATACGGCACAAACAGATTCGTGTGAGGATATGGTGATAGAGGATTGCTACATAACCATCGGCGACGATGCAATTGCAATAAAGTGTGGCTGGGATCAATATGGCATAACTTATGGACGACCCTCGAGAAACATTCTCATCCGAAACCTCATCGTCCGCTCTATGGTCAGGTGGCGTTTCTCGTTTTCTCTATTCGTTTGTCCTTCCATTCTGTTATACCACCAGAGTTTTTGAACGTTCAACTGTTCTTCACTGATGTACCGAGGAAATAGCTCTACATTTCGTTTATCACAAGCTTTGAATGTGCTTTTCCTACCTTTTATCAGTCCCTAGTTGTATTTGGTTAAGTGCACATTTTTACTCTTGGCTGAACATATACACAGTGCCGGCATATCGATAGGCAGCGAGATGTCTGGTGGGGTATCAAATGTCACCGTGGAGAACCTCCTTGTCTGGAGTTCCAGACGTGCTGTTCGAATCAAGACTGCTGCCGGAAGAGGTGGATATGTGAGAGATATAACATACAGGAATTTGACATTTAACGATGCTCGAGTTGGCATCGTTGTCAAGACAGACTACAACGAGCACCCTGACTTAGATTTCGACAAAAACGCTCTCCCGATACTTGAGAACTTAAGCTTCACCGGAGTACACGGTGAAGGAGTCCGTGTGCCTGTTCGTATACATGGTAGCTGGGACATCCCCGTCAGGAACGTGACGTTTAGGGATATGAACGTGGGGATTACATATAAGAAGAAGCATGTATTCCAATGTGCATTCGTTCGAGGTCGCGTGATAGGGACCATCTCCCCTGCTCCTTGTGAAAATCTTGATATATATGATGAAGACGAAAGGCTTGTAAAGTTCTCAACGGCCCAGAATGCAACAGATATAGATTACGGAGTCTGAGAAGACAGCGGATCATCGTCACCGGCAACCGTACGTTCTTCTTGGGATCGAGTTTGGAAGGCTTAAAACTGTATATCTGAAATGAGGCTTGTTGATTTCCCCTTCAAATCTGCTCTTTTTGCCTCCAATTTCTTTCTATGACATGATCACGTGATCGCCTCTTTCCCACTATGTCTCATTGGAAATCCCAAAGAACCCGACTTCTTGAATTTTATTGACATTATTCATGCACGTTGGATCTAAACAATTTGTATAGTAGATAGACATGCGTTTATAACATAATCCGCGTTAGATCTAAGCTGATATTTAATGTTATATTAAATAAATTCAAAAATTATATATATTTTTAAATAAATAATTATAATTTATGTGCTAATAATTATATTTTAAAATATAAAGCCAATAATTATAGACATAATGATAAAATGTTTGTATATAAATCTACATAATCACTTGTAAATATATCTATATTATTTAAAGGAGTCAAGGAAATCATATATATATATATATTAATTTTATATGTTTCTTGTTATTTTGTGGACAAAGTAAATAATTGGTCTCTCGAGTATAAGGTGTTGCTTTATTGAATCTATCGATTATTAAAAGTGACAAAATAATCTCCCAATTATAGGGCATTGTTTTGTTGAATCCCCTTACTATTAAAAGTTACAAAATTGCCACCTGACTATTCATATATTCCAAACTCTTCATATTACATTAAAAAAATGATGGTTTTTTGAGTTGGACGTTAACTTATTGATTGAGATATAATAAAATTTAATCCCAAAATCATTTGAATTGTATTTTGTGGGTCTTGTCTTCGTTTACATTATGTCGTCGAGTTGATGCTTGAAATATCATGATGTAGAGTCATTGCTCAAAAATAACGATGGTGCGTAAACATCATTAAAATATAATTTTATTGTATTACAATCAGTACGTTAACGTCCTGCTTTAACAATTATCGATTTTTTAACAGAAATATATGACGAGTTTGGAATATATGAATAGTCGAGTAATCATATTGTAACTTTTAATAGTCGAGAGATTCAACAAAGTAATACCCTATAGTTTAGGGACCATTTTATAACTTTAAATAGTTATGGGACTCAACAAAGCAACACCCTATAGTCGAGAGACCATTTGAGTACTTTACCCTTGTTTTATATGGTATTGTTTTAATTTTCTTATGTTAGAATTTTGTTGTATTTTAATTTATTTTATATTTTTTATCATTTATTTATAATTATTGTAATGAGATTGTATTTTTTACATAAGTATAAAATAGTTAAATAATAATGATTTAGTTTAGGAAAATTCTATAACGCTTGACTAGTATCGATGAACACCACTAACGATAAATAACATTAATTTAATTTATAAAAATTTATTCTAAAAGACTCAATGTAT